GTTATAAAAAAAAGATATTGGATATTTGGACTTAAAAACTTGATTAAGAAATGTATACGTGAATGTGTAAGGTGCACCCGTTATAAAGCATTAAAGCAGAAGCAGCTTATGGGTGATTTACCAGAATATAGGGTCAATGTGTCTGCTCCGTTCGCTCATTGTGGAGTAGATTACGCTGGACCATTGCTAATAAAATGTTCTAAAGGGCGAGGCCAAAAAACTTTTAAAGGGTACGTAGCGGTATTTGTATGTATGGCAACTAAAGCTTTGCATTTAGAGTTGGTAAGTGACATGACATCAGACTCATTTCTGGCGGCGCTGAAGCGATTGTTTGCACGCAGAGGCAAATGTTCACATGTATACTCAGACAACGGTACTAACTTCGTTGGAGCATCCAAAAAATTAGATAAGGATTTACAACAGGCTATTAAAAGCAATGTGAGTGCAGTTTGTGCATTGGAAGCAGAAATGGCATTTCATTCCACCGGCAAGTCCTCATTTTGGAGGTTTATGGGAGTCGGCCGTGAAGTCAATAAAACACCACTTGAAAAGAGTTGTTGGCGAAAATAAACTTACTTATGAGGAGTTAAGCACACTTCTAACTCAAATTGAGGGCATACTTAATTCACGACCGCTTTGTGCAAATGTTGACGACAATGATATATTAACTCCAGGTCATTTTTTAATTGGGCATGCTATCATTGACTATCCAGAAGCAGTAGATGATATGAACATATCTTCATTAAATCGTTGGAAGATAATTCAAGCAATGAAGAAACATTTTTGGAAACGATGGAAGGAAGAATATTTAACGAATCTTCAGCAGAGGTACAAATGGAAAGGGGTTCAAGCAAATATTAAGTGGTAATAGTGAAGAATGAGGAAACATATCCAGGAAGATGGCCTCTTGGAAAGATAATTGACGTTCATCCTGGAAAAGATAATCTGGTGAGAGTAGTATCGGTAAAAACTCAGAACGGCACAATAAAACGTCCGATTCAGAAATTATGTGTATTGGAAGGCGTACACGAACGAATACATGTTGCTGAGAATAAGACGATAAATGTTATTAAACGAAATTGGAATGTAGAATTTGGCCGCTGGCAGAATGTTCAATCACGAACAGGAGTTTTGACCTCCGGCAGAATGTTCAATCATGAACAGGAATTTATACCATAAATTTAATTATTATAGTTTTAAATTAAACTGAAAAGTTTCGGAAATTCTCATTTAAAATTCGCGCGCTGTATATTTTTCGATATTTTAAGTTTATGTAGTTTGGCAGCACTGTCCTTAATTACTATGCCAAAAATGAGCTCGATCTGTCAGACAGTTCGTTTACGGCAGCTGTTGAAACCAGTTCACCTCAGTAGTGCGTTGCGAAATGTCTTCGACGGTCGTACGACCGTCCTGGAAGGCTTTGTACCACTCATAAACTTGAGTTTTCGATAAAACTGATTCCCCATAAGCCTTTTGTAGCATTCGCAACGATTCTGCACACGAAATTTCGTTCGAAACACAAAATTTGATGCAAACTCTTTGTTCAATATTTTTTTCCATTGTTTTTTTCGCAACGCCCTACTGAGGTGAACTGGTTTCAACAGCTGCCGTAAACGAACTGTCTGACAGATCGCGCTCATTTTTGGCATAGTAATTAAGGACAGTGCTGCCAAACTACATAAACTTAAAATATCGAAAAATATACAGCGCGCGAATTTTAAATGAGAATTTCCGAAAACTTTTCGGTCTTAATGTATATCATCACCTAAATTCTTAGAATTATGAACTAAAGAAAAATATAGATAAATAGTAACATTTTTTAGCAACCGTATTTAAATTATTAAACTAAAATATATTCATAAAAACAATAGGAGGAAAATCCCAAGTGTTGGGACTTCCGTCCTTTTTTTAACCTTTTTTAACCTTTTTTGACAAATGTAATACAGTCCACTAAAATCATAATATTTTAACCTTGATGTAGAAATTAGTCTTAAAATATTTTTGTATAAAAACACAACATTATTTGAAATAAAATCAGTAGCTAAAAATTACTCAAAGTGTGTGTACTTTAATTTATTAAATGTACACGAAGTAATGAACACATAATGCATTTTATTGTCACTTAAATTTTTTTTTGTTAGATATATATCTATATACACGACTGTATATTTTGTACCTGAATTGAAACAATATGATTAATTTCAATAATCTTAGTCATACTTGACACTTGATGTCTTGAAAAGACAAACAAAACCGCTGTTGTACTGTCGATATTTTGTCTGTTGTTATATTACTAAAGCAATAATAATGACAAAATATTATAATTTCCTGAAAATTACTCAATTTTGTTTTTGACAATAAGAAATACAATAAAATATAATTATTTTGAAAACTGTTGATATGCGTAATGCAAGTATACTCATATATAAATATCTTCAATAAAATTTTTACCACTCTATAATCGGTCTACTCACTTGTAATAGCATTATGGGAAAGTAATGCTATTTCAAAAATAATAATTTCTCTTAACTGAATTAAAAAGATTTGATAGATTCTTATCATTTAAAGTCATTCTTTTATCATGTGTCATTTCAACATACCTGAACTTGAACTTGAGTCTTGAATTGATTTGATAGGCGTCTATTATGTGATATTACAGCATCACTAAACTGTAAAGTGCTTACAAGTTTAAAGAATACAATAGTATACTATATTGAGACTATATATAAAAAATGTATCTAGTGATTTTGTTTAAAGGGTGAATTACATCGTATTATCCAAAGCACGTAGTATTCTCTGTAAGTAAACAAAATCCCTGCATTCTTTATTCCGGAATGCTTGGGTCACATAATCTATAACTGTTTAATAATTTTGCACATAACAATATTTACTTAATCTAAGGACATATACTTATTTATGAGAGAGAGTTGGTTTAAAATTAATTCAAAGTTATACGCCACTATCTTTATTGTTCATCGTGCTGTGCCCTTCTCAATCAAAATAATATCTTATTGTCGCTATAATAGTCTGAAATTTGTAGTTTAATTATTTTTTAAATAGTTAATATGTAAATAATAAATGTTAATCGTAAATCAGAAGAAATTGTTTCAGGTATTGTAAAAATTTATATACGGAGATTGTATTTACTAATGCATTAATTTTTATAGTAAAAAACTATAGTTGAAACAATGTATTTATATGTATACTATTATTGACTCTATGTTCTGTTGTGTTGAGATACAAAATGCATATGAAAATATGTAAAAGGGGTTCGATATGTCTAAGTGTAATATATAATGATAAATCCAGATTATTATATAATAAAAAAAATTAATAGATATTAATTTCGGTTAATTTAATAATTTATTAGTTATTTTTAGGTTATTAAAGCCAAAAAGAGGTGCACTTGTTAGGACTACCGGTTGTTTTATAACAATGTATAGCACGATTTACTGCTAGGAGTTTGATGGTTTAAGATATAAATGAACTAATCAATACAAAACTGCAATAACGATTTTATATGACTAATATTTATTTGTCAAAATAAGTTTATTTAATGTTAATAATCAATTGCAATCAAATAGATATAGTGGACTGTGTGCTTTTTTATTTTGCATACTGTTAACACTCAAATATCAAATTTTACAAAGTATCTTTTGCAATGTTTTGCTCATTTGATGTAACTGTTATATGATTTAAGCTATTATATATTTTTGATGCTCAACAGAAACATACCGTTGTTTAAGCTTTGATTCCCAGTAGTTGGGAATTTGACCTAACCGACATAATGGTCCAACTGTCAAGTAATTACTCATGCAAAATATATGATGGTTTCGTAGTATGTAAATTTATGGTTTAAAATGATTTAAAATTTGAATATTAACTTAATCAATTTTCAAATTTTTTTCCTGTCTGGGACTTATAACATAGAAAGTGCACAATAAGAATTATTTTCCAGAGTAAGTAAGTAAGTACATATAACAAAATTTTGGTTGTAGTTTAAAATTAATTACTAGACGTTGGTATTTAATCCTATTTTACAGTTCAGTTTAAATCCATGAATCAAGTTGAAATATTGCAGATGTTATAATGAAGACTATTAGGACTACACTGTCCATTGTGCTTTATAGTGTATTCAACTTTATTCCGATTGACTATTTTTGGTATTAAACTGTGCTATACTTAAGCTTTTAAGCTCCGGCAATATATAGACACTAATAAAACATGAACACTTTAAAATCTTATAGAATCTTATATACACAGAGATACATAACAAGCTACTTAGGTCCCAAAGTACTTGTTTTTTTATATTATTCTTCTTAGATATATTTCACGTCAAATATTTGAAATCCATCATTGACTTTGCTATTCTCAAATGTTACATACATTTTGATATACCTTACAGACAACAATATTTGTATGTGACAAGTAGGTTACACAATATAATTACAAAGAAAATATTTAACTAGTAAATGGCTAATTGCATAAATTATTTTTACACTTTTTAGTATTTGCCTTATTCACAGATTAATTAGATTTGGATGGAAATCTCGTTCAAATAACCTATAACTTACAAATTATTCTAACTATAGTGCCAACAATGTCATCAGCTTTTTATATCATATGCAAAATCCTATTAACAACTTAGGTTAAAATGCGGTAGTCCTATATAGTCGCAATACTTCCATATCAACATAGACGGTTAAAAAGTAGAAAGTCGATTTAATGGTAGAATATTTTTGAAAATAGAAAATAACATTTTATAACTAACAATATTGGCAAATGAAGAAGATATTTGTATTATGAAATATGTCAAATCACAAAGATTAATATGCATTATATTCGTTGTAAAAATGAATATGACTCGAAACCATGAAGATTTTCGGGTACAGCACAGACTATTCCAGAAGACAACTAAAAATATGTCTTATTGGTTAATACGTGACAAGGAAAATAGAGGAAAGTGAAGAAAATATGGCAAGTATAAAAATAAAAAACAAAACAAAAATAAAGTAAAATCAATTTATCTAGTAGTCATCTAAGTCGAAACATTCATTATCGATGTCATCTAATTGCATACTCTGGAAGTCCACTTTATAACGTAATATTCCTCCAATACCTCCAAATCCCCTAACAAATTGGCTGCCCACCTGAGATTTATCTGTAATAATCTCAAGCTCAAGGGTCGATGCTGACTATTTAGGTACAGAGAGTTGAAACATACGGTAACTCAAGTCTGATCATATTTTTTTTTTCAATTCGCCAAAACATCAGCTGATTCTATTGCAAAAACTTACACTTGAATATGAAATTTGAAGTATTGGAAAAAAAATTCATGTAATTAAATATGAATAAAAAATATTTTTATAGTTATAGTTATTTATTTATATAGATATATAAATAAAACTATATCTGTAATATAGTTTTAGTTCATTTTTAATTTTAAATTTTTTACTTTTTCTTGTCATATTCTTGATTGAAAAGGATTCATATATTTGTGGAGTCATTGTCCTTATACCTCTAAAATATTATTTTATTATTTAATTGCACATCCACAATACTCGGACTTA